GTGCTGCCTGCCCCGGGGGCGCCGCGTGGGCCCCGCGTCCACCCTGGGCCTGACCGGTGAGTGGGGCGGGGCCGCAGGGCAGGGGGGAGGGCCCTGGAAGACTCTCCCTTTGTTACCATCTTTGTGGAAACACCGGTGTACCCCCCCCAAACCCCCCACAGGCTCCACCGCTGGCCTGGGGTCTGGTAGAGGGTGAGGCTGGGCCCGGGGGCCTGGGGCTGGAGAGTCGCTTCCCCAACAGGGCCCTCTGGCCGCACCTCACAGCCAAGGGATCGGACGCTTCCTTAGAACTTGTGGGAGGGAGTCCTACCCCCATCCCTGGTCCTTCCCACCCGCTGGGCCTCGGGGTGACTGGAGCCCTGACAGGCTGGGAGGTGCTCAGAGAGCAGCGTCTTACCAGCGCCCCAACCTCACAGTTCAGACATCACCAGACTTAGGACTGCAGTGGGTCAGCCAGATGGGGCGCCCTGAGCCCAGCCGCGGGAGTTCACGGGTCGACCTTGAACTTGGCAGAGAGACAAGGTCTTATCCTAATGGGGCTCCTGATCGTGGGAAGACAGGCTGTGAACTGACAAAACAGGCAAAGGGGGGTGGATACAACAGGAAGCCCTGGGTCAGGCCAGGCCTGGGCTGCGAGGCCTAGGAGCCTGTCCAGGGCACCCCCAGGACAGCTGAGGCCTGCGGTCAGGCAGGGGTCGGCATGGTGACAGCACGATAGGACAGAGAGTGTGTCACATCCACGATGCCACAGCTGGTGCAAAGGCCTGGAAACTGGGAGCACGGGGCACCCGAGAGGGTTTGGATGAAGTGCTCTGAGTGGGGGACAGCCCCGAGAAGGGGTGCAGAGGTGGGCAGCTCAGGCAGCAGGCCTCCTCCGGGCGCACAGGGTCTTGCAGCTTTAAGTAAGACCGACTCCATCATCGTGCGTTCCTGGTCCCATCTGGACGCTGCGCAGAGGGATGGGAGGGAGGCAGGGACAGCAGGAGGGATGGGGGAGCACAGGTGAGGAGTGGGGGTGGCCCAGGC